GTTTAACAGAGTCCGAAGTTTTAACAGAGTCCAGTTTAACAGTGTCCGGTTTAACAGTGTCCGGTTTAACAGAGTCCGGTTTAACAGAGTCCGGTTTAACAGAGTCCGGTTTAACAGAGTCCGGTTTAACATAGAGTCCGGCTTAACAGAGTCCGGTTTAAGTATCCGGTTTAACAGAGTCCGGTTTAACAGAGTCCGGTTTAACAGTGTCCGGTTTAACAGAGTCCGCTTAACAGAGTCCGGGTTTAACAGTGTCCGGTTTAACAGTGTCCGGTTTAACAGACCGGTTTAACAGAGTCCGGTTTAACAGAGTCCGGCTTAACAGAGTCCGGTTTAACAGAGTCCGGCTTAACAGAGTCCGGTTTAACAGAGTCCGGTTTAACAGTGTCCGGTTTAACAGAGTCCGTTTAACAGAGTCCGGTTTTAACAGAGTCCAGTTTAACAGAGTCCGGTTTAACAGAGTCCGGTTTAACAGAGTCCAGTTTAACAGAGTCCAGTTTTTAACAGTGTCCAAGTTTAACAGAGTCCGGCTTAACAGAGTCCAGTTTAACAGTGTCCGTCAACAGTGTCCGGTTTAACAGAGTCCAGTTTAACAGTGTCCGGTTTAACAGAGTCCGGTTTAACAGTGTCCGGTTTAACAGTGTCCGGTTTAACAGAGTCCGGTTTAACAGTGTCCGGTTTAACAGAGTCCGGTTTAACAGTGTCCGGTTTAACAGTGTCCGGTTTAACAGAGTCCGGTTTAACAGTGTCCGGTTTAACAGAGTCCGGTTTAACAGGGGTCCGGCTTCAGGGTTTACTTTGTCCGGAGTTGATGGAGGTTGTCATGTTTATGCTTATATATGAATAATTTTTACAGATTGTTATTCGTGTCATCCACACACACACAGGCTGCCATACATGCCATACACACACAGGTTACACATACACACAGGTTGCCATACACACAGGTTGCCATACATGCCATACATGCAGGCAGGTTGCCATACACACACAGGTTACCATACATCCCACACACACACAGTTTGCCATACATGCCATACACGCGCAGGTTACCATACATCCCACACACACACAGCTTCTTGCCATACATCCCACATACACACGCACACAGGTTGCCACACACACACAGGTTGCCATACACCACACACACACACACACACACACTGGTTTATACATGCCACACACACACACACAGGTGCACACACAGGCTACATATCCCACACACACACACACACACAGCTACATGCCATACACGCTCAGGTTGCTATACACACACAGGTTACCATACATACAATACAGACACAGGTTGCCATACATCCCACATACACACACACAGGCTGCCATACATGCCATACACGCTCAGGTTGCTATACACACACAGGTTACCATACATACTATACACACACAGGTTGCCATACATCCCATACACACAGGTTGCCATACATCCCATACACACAGGTTGCCATGTACACACACAGGTTGGGTCATACATCCCATACACACACAGGTTGTCATACATCCCATACACACACAGGTTGCCATACATCCCATACACACACAGGTTGCCATATACGCACAGGGTTGCCATACATCCCATGCACACACACACAGGTTGCCATGGCACATCCCATACACACACAGGTTGCCATACATCCAATACACACACAGGTTGCCATACACACACAGGTTGCCATACACACACAGGTTTGCCATACATTCCATACACACATAGGTTGTCATATATGCCACACACACAGGTTGCCATACATGCCATACACACAGGTTGCCATACATGCCATACACACAAGTTGCCATACATGTCAAACACACACATAGGTTGCCGTACATACATGTCATAATACACACACAGGTTGCCATACATGTCATACACGCACACAAGTTGCTGTACATACATATCATACACACATAGGTTGCCACACAAATTGCCATACATATCAAACACACACATAGGTTGGCGTACATACATGTCATAATACACACACAGGTTGCCATACATGTCATACACACACAGGTTGCCATACACACGCCCATACAACTTTTAAACAGCAACTCGGTATCATTTAATAATTATGTTTTTTTCTATATTGGAAAATTAATATTCATAAACTATACCAGAGGTATTTTGCCACATATAAAGCAGAAATTCACCCATGTATACCTGTACATCTCGTCATTCATACACACATACACCATAGGCATGATCATACACCTGTGCAATTGTATGGGTGTATGTGAGTCAATATCCACACACACACACACAGTCATATACAAGGCTTAATACACTTTATACTTTCCTCAGTACATCCATACACTCATACATCCATACGCTCATACATCCATACACTCATACATCCATACACTCATACATCCATACACTCATACATCCATACACTCATACATCCATACACTCATACATCCATACACTCATACATCCATACACTCATACATCCATACACTCATACATCCATACACTCATACATCCATACGCTCATACATCCATACACTCACATCCATACACTCATACATCCATACTCTCATACATCCATACACTCATACATCCATACACTCATACATCCATACACTCATACATCCATACACTCATACATCCATACACTCATACATCCATACACTCATACGTCGATACACAAATATGTAACTCCAACTCAGCCTTTCCCAGCATGCAAGTATACACATTTCCATACACACTCCTGTATCTGGAAAGTAAAGACAATTTACATTTTAATGTGTATAGTCTTAGCGTCATAAATAATCCATACATGGCTCATATAACCATACACACGCCATACACCTACCACAACCATACATACACCATACAACCATACACCTACCACAACCATACACATTCTACACAATCATACACAGACCATACATTCATACACCTACCACAACCATACATACACCATACAACCATACACCTATCACAACCATACACATTCTACACAATCATACACAGACCATACATCCATACACCTACCACAACCATACATACACCATACAACCATACACCTACCACAACCATACACATTTTACACAATCATACACATACCATACATTCATACACCTACCACAACCATACACATTCTACACAACCATACACACACCATACATCCATACACCTACCACAACATAACCTGGAGATATGTACTGTGTGTAATTGTATACTGACATCCTGCCATCCACCACTCCATACAGGTCACAGTACAATCATACATATCACTACTCGACCCGACATGTAAATACAACCATACACTACGATACAACCATTATACTATACGTCAGTGTATAACCACACACTATCACACACACTTCCGTTAACGCTGTATACTTTACCTTCCGAGCCATACACCTCTTCATCCAACCATACGTACTTCCATACACGCCAATAATTATATATATATATATATATATATATATATATATTATATATATATATATATATATATATATATATATATATATATCACCATTCATTATTCACGACACTATATAACAATTACACCATACAATCTATCCTAAACGCCACCATACATCTATACAGTTCACCATACAACTACACACACACACACACACACACACACACACACACCCCTTAACTACACTCAAAACCAGGCCCTTGGAGACTATACACCCATGCACCATAACCACGCCCGTACACTCCTGACCACACCTGCACAACACTCGTACATCCCTAACCACGCCTACACTCTAACCACGCCCGTACACTCCTGACCACACCTGCACACCTCTTACCACACTCTGTACATCCCTAACCACGCCCGTGCACTCCTAACCACGCCCTGACACTCCTGACCACACCTGCACACCACACTGTACATCCCTAACCACGCCCGTACACTCCTAACCACGCCTGTACACTCCTGACCACACCTGCACACCTTACCACACCGTACATCCCTAACCACGCCCGTGCACTCCTAACCACATCCATGACTTCGGTCGTTTACATGTCAATAAACGCCTCCTTTAATCTCTGACAGCAACACATGAAGACTCCCAACACGTCCCCTTACCTGCCAACACCTCCCCACCTGCCAACACCTCCCCTACCTGCCAACACCTCCCCTACCTGCCAACACCTCCCTACCTGCCAACACCTCCCCTTACCTGCCAACACCTCCCTTACCTGCCAACACCTCCCCTACCTGCCAACACCTCCCCTTACCTGCCAACACCTCCCCCCTTACCTGCCAACGCCCTACTGTACGTTAACACACTTACCCTTAGTTCAGTATTTGTTGTCATACTTAAGCTCTGAGCATGCCATCTCCTCCCCAAGGCGAGTCACTTGGAGAATATATAGATAAGAGGTTCCTTAATGATGAGAAAGATTCATTCACATCCAGTTTGGCAGTACAGTAGCTGGTCCGTGTGACACCCCGACCTGTCTGGCTCCCTCACCTCGCCACCAGCACTGACGATTCACTCCTCGCTAGATCTTATCCTCTTGGGAAAAAAATAATAATAATAGTTGGAGGCTGGTGACCATAGCCTTGATTATCACTGATTGTCTTTCAACATACAGTCAGACAACAGCCCCAAACCTTTTGAAAATTGGTTTTGTGTGTGTAGAGACGTCGGGGTGTACAGTAGTGTGGGCGACTCAACACCCCTCAAGCAGAGTACCATCCAGCGGTGGGGTAGTGGTGGGGTAGTGGTGGCGTGTGTACCGGTGCATCAGCAGGGTTCATGGGCACTGGTCTAGTATTTTCATCACCAGTAAAAGTTCTTGTGAAAAGAGAATCGTTCAGAATTAATTGTACAGTATGTAGATTGTAGAATTCTAAAATCTTGTTTATATTTGGTAAATTATTCATATGTCATGATGTTTAATTAATATATTTCATACATGCCCCTGAGGCGGTTGAGGGAGTGTGTTGGTGTTGCCTGACTCCACCACACTAGTGAGGTGACTTGTGTGTTATGGTGGTGTGTTTCAGGCCATGTCCCCGGCGCACAGTGTCCACAGTCTGTCGCCGACGCAGCCACTAGGTGAGGGCCACTACCCAGGGCCCGGAGGCGAAGCCCACCAGCCCACCAACAACTTTACAACACCTCCCACCTCACAACCCCCGCACACTGCCCACTCAGCCCACTCCGCCCATACTGCCCATTCTGCGTCCAGCAGTGAGCCAAATATGCTCAGGGCAGCATTAACCCATCGTGAACAGCAGCAGCAGCAGCAACAGCATCAGCAGCAACAACAACAGCAACAACAACAAACACACAGCAGTAGCCCCGGCAGCAGCGACACGGGGGGCGGGCCAGGCCCTGGTGTGCCGGGGGGCGGCTCCGGTGGTCCCGTGCATATGCCCGACTTTGTGGACTTCGACACTCCGATACAGGGCGGCCTGGACTGTAACGTAGAGGTAGGGGACTTGCTTTTGTGCTGGCCGGTGGTACCAGTAGCCTGAGACGGGCCGGTCGCAAGACCCGCGCCTCACCACAGGAACTGGACACTGTCCGACAAAGTAGTAACAACTAGAATAAGTTAGAGGTTATTATTAACACTCAAGTGCGTGTAGTCTCTCCGGTAGGAAACAAAACATGTAACATGAGTTTTACTTTCCTAGAAACAATTTATTTTCACTCTGAATAAAATTTCAATTAATTAATCGCAAATTTTGTTAATACGATAAATATAAAAGCCTGTGTTTGTAACAGCACTAACAGAATAAGTCCTACTGAAGCTCCTTTGTTTGTTACTGGTTGAGCTACTCTCATGGTGTTTGATAGCGTAGCGTGAGGCAGTGACTTGATCCAGCAGACAGACTATGACTGGTACAGTTTAAAGGTCCCCCTCTCCCCGGGAAGCCATCAGTCAGGCCGGCATCACTCCCGCACACTCTTGTCATTCTCGCTGCCAAACTTCACATCCATCACTCAGACTTCAATCACTCCCCAAGTCAGACAGTCAGACACTTTGTAAAGCCTCTTGTGCCGATACTAACTTTTGAGGCTAAGGGAACGATATTTGCGTCATGTTATGTCAGGTCATTATAATTATATAGGATGTTAGAGTCTGCTGTGTTTACACCTGTCATGTGATCAGTGTCAGTCATATAAGAATTTCAGCCAAATAACTCCTTGAAAAGTTCTCCATCAGTTCTGATCATCGAGTATCTGTTGAGGATAAGTCAAACTTGTGTTCACTTTAAGTGTTGAGGGTGTACAGTGATCAGTACTGGTGTAGGGCGTTAGTGTGTGGCCCAGTGTGGGGAACCTGTGTCTGTCTTGCACAATACAGTCGTCTCATCTTTGCCTTGCTATTGCTTTGCTGCTCAATGTAGGCTTAAGATTTTCTTGGCAGTTTCTGTGCTTATGATCATATAACTAAGATTACAGCTTTGTGTTAATGACCGTCACTCACCATTACTGTGTTCTAACTCACTCTTGACTGTTACAGGTAATCAAACACGAGCTGCAGGTGGAAGGAAACCTGGATTTCTCTTTCCCACATGGACACCACGGCCACCACTCCCACGGTCACGCCCACGCCGTCGCCCACGCCCACGCCCACGCACACTCTCACCCAGACCCTCCTCAGATGGCAGCACCACCTGGGATGTCTTATCCCTGTTCGTCCATCGCGGCGGGGAACCAGTGGGTCCGCTAAATGGTGAGTACAGTCCCGCCTCAACCTGTCGCATTACCATTATTTCAGACCACAGATGACGCCTCCATATTTAGGGGGTCCCGTCTTCGACAACTTTCTCCATGATATTTAAACATTGATATTAATGAAATTTATTTAGCCATAAAAAACACAGAGTGGATAATAATAACAATATTAACATGGGTGAGCCAGTTGAGAACCTGAGCTCTCTTGTAGGCACCTGATATATACTATACATTTATCTCGCGGAAGTATTATGTAACATTTAATATCACCTGGAATAGTACAATAGCATGGTGGTAATAAGAACACGTTACCACGGTTATCACTTCGATATTTAATTATTTTACAATTTTACCTTTATATTATAAGTATATACATACTTTACAGTGGAGTTGATATACTTTAATATGATAAGGGAGGGAAGTAAATATATAATTAATACACGGATAACTTTCATACGTTTGTTGTGGTGATTCGCCTACTACTGCTGGACGGTACCTTTGTGGTGTATGACGTCTATCAGATTATAACAAAGTATAAGGTCAACGAAAATTTACACACACACACACACACACACACACACACACACACACACACACACACACACACTCACACACACACACACACACACACACACACACACACACACACACACACACACTCCCACAGTTATCTTAAGCTGGACTACACGTGCAATGATCGATATACCTGGTGATAATTGAAACACCTGGTCTAAACGTTGATAATAATTGATATAGCGGGAACAGAATAAATAAGAACCTAGGATATTGGTTTGTGTAACGGTTCAGGTTATAAATTGACTAAGAGTGTGTGGAGATGTGTTGTCAGCGGGTGTTAGTGATGCGTAGAGGAGATCTGTTATGAATTAGTTTGGTTAGCCTGAGCAGCTGTTGGTGGTAATGTGTTGCTAGACATTTTGGCAGGAGAGAGGAGTGTGTGGCACACACCCAACTGACGCCGCCTGTGTCATAGCGTGTGGTCATATAAACACCTGTATTGAAGACTGAGGAGTTGTGTCTGATGATTATGTCTCAAGTCTTGTCTCTTTGTTTACTATCCCGTGATGGTTGTGACGGCAGTGGCAACCAGAGTGTACTGTACTGTACCCTTCAGGGGTCCGGCTGGCCACCTACTGGTTGTGGTGGGGTCCGGCCATACCTACTGGTGGGGTGGTGGGGTCCGCCGGCCACCTACTGGTTGTGGTGGTGGATCCGCTGGCCACCTACTGGGGTGTGGTGGCTGGCTACCCACTGGTTGTGGTGGTGGGTCCGGCTGGCCACCTACTGGTTGTGTGGTGGGGTCCTGCCGGCCACCTACTGTTTAGGGGTCCGCTGGCCACCATTGGTGTGGTGGCCGGCTGGCCTACTCTGGCTGTTGTGTGGTGGGATCCGGGCTACCTACTGGTTGGTGGTGGGGTCCGCTGGCTACCTACTGTTAGTGGTGGTGGCGGCTGGCCACCTACTGGTTGTGGTAGGTGGGGTCCGGGAGGCTCTTCAATATTACAATGTTTACCTCGGTCACGTGATTCATTGGGGCTGGGAGGGGGGGGGGCAGTGAGGGTGTTTGTCTGACCACTTCCCCGCTATTGTCCCCCTGACGTCCTGTTTATCCCTGCCTACCCAAGGTATATAAATAACACCTCTAATATTAATCCTCGCTCGGCCAGCCTACATTGATGATGCTGGCGGCGGTACAGAGACAAATTGTGGCAAGTTCAACAATTAATCAGACTAGAGAATCGCCAACCAGCAAACCCTGCCTCCTCCCCTCCCGTCCGTCCCTCCCTCCTCTGTCCGTGCCCTCCCTCCGTCCGTCTACATCCCCTTAACTCTCACACTAACCTCCCCCTCCCTCCTTCCCTCCCCTCTTACCTCCCCCTCCTCCAACTTCCCATGCCCCCTCCACCTCGTCATGCGTCCCTCCCCCCTCCTACTCCCCCCGGCCAGGATCAAGCCATCAGAGTGTTACCTTAGCGGCTTCTCTCTCTCTCTCTCTCTCTCTCTCTCTCTCTCTCTCTCTCTCTCTCTCATATCTGGACATAATATTGCTCACCATTAGTCAACTGAAGGAAGGGGTGAGGGAGGAGGGGGATTATTCGTGAGGGAGTGAGTAAGTGAGGGTGAAGGGCAGGGGAGTGTGGAGGTGTGTCCTTCAGGCAGAACCACACCTGTAGCTCCTCAGGTGAGTAACTGTAGAAGGTAAAGTTTGTACCGTAAAGTTACCTCGTACTAATCATTTTGAAATTGTTTAATAGTCTTGAAATAGGGAAGTTAATTTTGGTGTGAGTAGGAATTTGATAATGTGAACCATGGTGTGTGAAACCATGGTGTGTGTGAACCATGGTGTGTGACTGTGTGAACCATGGTGTGTGTGAACCATGGTGTGTGTGTGAACCATGGTGTGTGTGTGAACCATGGTGTGTGAACCATGGTGTGTGTGAACCATGGTGTGTGTGTGAACCATGGTGTGTGTGAACCATGGTGTGTGTGAACCACGGTGTGTGTGGAACCATGGTGTGGAACCATGGTGTGTGTGGACCATGGTGTGTGTGAGCATGGGAACCAGGTGTGGTGAACCATGGTGTGTGTGAACCATGGTGTGTGACCATGGTGTGTTGAACCGGTGTGTGAACCATGGTGTGTGTGAACCATGGTGTGTGTGTGAACCATGGTGTGTGTGAACCATGTTGTGTGTGAACCATGGTGTGTGTGGACCATGGTGTGTGTGTGAGCCATGGTGTGTGTGAACCATGGTGTGTGTGAACCATGGTGTGTGTGAACCATGGTGTGTGTGTGGACCATGGTGTGTGTGTGAACCTTGGTGTGTGTGAACCATGGTGTGTGTGTGTGAACCATGGTGTGTGTGAACCATGGTGTGTGTGAACCATGGTGTGTGTTTTGTGTGGGGTCCGTACCAGAGGTTGTTAGGGGTGGGGGCTCTCACACACACACACACACACACACACACACACACACACAAATCGATTGGTTTCGTCGAGTTGTTAAAATTTCTTGATGACACAGATTGATTAGCTTATAAAATAGGGACTCCAAGGCCTCACCTCTCCTCCTCCCTCCTCCTCCCTCCCTCCTCCTCCTCCTCTTCCTCCTCCTCCTCCTCCTCCTCCTCCTCCTCCTTCCTCCTTCCTTCCTCCTCCTCCTCCTCCTCGCTACACCACAAGACTCGTGCCCCATAAAAAACATCTCCTGTACGAGCAAACAACAGCGCCTGACGTTCCCCCCCTCCATCCCACAGTAACATAGCTGCGTCAGACAAACGTTCGCCAGCCTTTTGCCCGCACTAACGCTCGCATACGCCGCAAGAACAAGGCGGCAGTGGGGTTAGGTTAGGTTAGGTCTGTGTGTTAGTCCAGTTGAACGATACTTTGTGGGAATATTACGCCGATGATTTTGGGAAGAGGAAACATTATGGATGAAAACTAGAGGGAGGAATAGAAGGAGAGAGAGAGAGAGAGAGAGATGGAGAAACAATCAAAAGATGGGATAGGGGTAAACGAGGAGGGAGACGAGAATGAAGGGGATGGATGGAGGAGAAGGAAAGAAGAATAGAAGGAATGAGGGAATGACTGATCCGTCTGGTAGAGAAGGAACCCCTCCACCTCCCTCCTCCCTCCCTCCCTCCGATTAGATTGATGAGTTGATTAATTTAGCTCTGGTTAGGATTAATTAGTGAAGGTGACGCCACTTGGGGTTTTCACTCACACAAGAGAGTGCAGAAGGTTATCAGGTTTTTATTTTATTTTTCTTGCGTTTTATATTATTATATTTTTTTTAATGGAAACTATTTTAATCGATATTTTGTGAATGAGTTTTAGTGTGTGTGTGTGTGTGTGTGTGTGTGTGTGTGTGTGTGTGTGTGTGTGTGTGTGGTAAGGTTGTGATTGTTGATTTGATTGTAATGATTTATATTGACTCAGGTATTGTAAGGGTTACTCTTCTCTCTCTCTCTCTCTCTCTCTCTCTCTCTCTCAGTTTGTTTTTCACGTGTACATCCTGGTCTCTCCCTTTAACCCGTTTTCCTGAAGGAGATAGGAAGGGAAGGGAGGGAGGAGAGTTCCTACCTCATTCTCCCTAGGAAAAAAAAAAAATTAACACCTTAACTCCCATAAGTGGCTGGAAATCTCATCAAACAGACAATTACGTGCCGGCAGATCGCGTCTAAAATTATAATCTGGGAGACGGAAAAACACCTATCTAAATTATTAATAAAGTGTCAATAATTGTCTTTCGAGGAGGAACCCAGGTGATGAGCGGCGAATTTTACCGTCTTGGGGAGGGGAGGGGTGTCTTTGGGGAGGGGAATGGGGATAGGGAAGGGGTTGTCTGGGGTGGTGGACGGGGAAGGGGGTATCTTGCGATGGGAGGGAGAAGGGGCTGGTCTTGGGATGGGAAGAGGGAAGGGATGGGGTCGTATTAGGGTGGGAAGGGAGGGGTCATTTAGGGGGGGGGAAGGGGAGGGGTCGTATTGGGGAGGAGGTGATTGTCTTCCCGAGATGTGAGGGTCGTCCTCCCCGCCGTCAAGGATTGAGGAATTTGATAATGGGTCTTCGTGGAAGTGCGGGAGGGCTAGTCTGTTTACTACTGCGGGGGGGGGTGTAGAGGGGTGTGTGGGGGTGTAGAGGGGTGTGTGGGTGTAGAGGGGGTGTGTGTGTGAGGTAGAGTTGGTGTGCTTTGAATGGGTCACTTGATTGACAAATAATATACAAGTAACATATGTGTGATACAAATATGATTTATAATACCTAGGTGGGAGAAGGTCAGACTACAGGGCATTTAACAGTGTCAGTGCCAAAAGGTATGTGAACATATTGTGTATGTGTGTGTGTGTGTGTGTGTGTGTGTGTGTGTGTGTGTGTGTGTGTGTGTGTGTGTGTGTGGAGTGAATATCCGAGTTCGGGGAAGACAAGAGAACAAATGCCAGTATTCTCACTAACACCAACTGTAGGAGCATCGAGGCTA